ACTCCTGCTACATTGCCCATCTAGTGGCATGGCATTAACTTGAATGACTAAGGTCAAAGGATTGGCAGAGTGGCCCATCCCCAAGGATCGACGTCAGCTGCAAAGGTTTCTCGGATTTGCAAACTTTTACTGGCGCTTCATTAAAGACTACAGCTGTGTGGCAGCTCCAGTAACCCAGTTAACCTCAGCCCTCACAGCTTTTAAGTGGACACCAGAAGCGGAGGCTCCTTTTGGTGAGTTAAAGCAACGATTTATCTCTGCTCCCATTTCTAAACACCCGAAACCCACTGAATAGTTCATTGTGGAGGTGGATGCCTCAGATTCGGGTGTGGGTGCAGTGCTCTCCCAAAGGTCATCTGAGGACAAGAAGATCCGTCCTTGTGCCTTTTTCACTCGACGTCTGCCTCCATCCGAGAGAAATTATGATGTGGGGACCGAGAACTGTTGGCCATAAAACTGACCCTGGAGGAGTGGAGACACTGGTTGAAGGTACTGTATTACTTTTTCTTGTTTGGACTGACCATAAAAATCTTTCCTATCTGCAGGGAGCTAAGAGGTTAAATCCTGGTCAGGTCAGATGGTCTCTGTTTTTTGTGCGTTTCAACTTCACCATCACCTACATTCTAGGAACTCGCAACAAAAAGCAGTCTTATGCCAGTTCGCTGACCCAGAGACCCCTAAGGAGGAGGAGGGCAGTTTTCTATCCCCCACCTTTTGTAGGAGCTCTCGTGTGGGACATAAAGAAACTGATCCAAGAGGCACAAAGGACAGAACCTGACCCTGGTGGAGGCCCACAATGTAAAACATATGTACCTTCTGCTGTTAAGAGTAATGTGATGGACTGGCTTCACTCCAGTCAATTTTCATGTCATCCTGGTGTTAACCGTATGATGTCCTTAGCCACAAGATATTTTTGGTGGCCCTCTATTAGGGGTAAAACAATACATGTACCCATATCGAACCATATCGAACAGTGCTTTAGGTTCAATACACACTTGTATCGAACAATACAGATTTTTAAAATGTACTTATCAACTTGTCTTCTGAAGATGCTCTGTGTTAAACGATCAGTGGATGTGTGTTTGACTACTCCACCTAGGCTGCATTTTTGAACGCAGATCCACTGAGAAACTTGCTGTTTCAGCAACATTTAATTTAAAAACTGTACTTTTGAGGTTAAACAAATGTTCATAATTAATTTAAATAAATTACAAGTTAAAATGGGCATGGGAATTTCTCTTTTTTTGTTTCAAAAAAATATTGAACCGTGAGACTAAAGTATCGAACCGAATCTTGAATTTTCTGTATCATTGCACCCCTACCCTCTATGTCTGCAGATGTAAGGAGTTTGTTTCTGCCTGTCCAACCTGTGCCCAAAATAAGTGGTGAACCCCCCCACCAATCTGGGTTACTCCAACCTCTACCTACTCCAGGCCAATCTTGGTCACACATTGCTTTGGATTTTGTTTCCGGACTTCCTCCATCTCATGGTAACACTGCAATTTTGACCGTTGTAGATCGTTTTTTCCAAAGCCGTGCATTTCATTTCCCTTCCTAGGTTACCTACTGCTATGGAGACCACACGACTAAACATGTGGTCCATGTCCATGGGATTCCTCTGGACATTGTGTCCAATCGTGGGCCTCAGTTCATCTTGCAGGTATGGAGGTCTTTTTGTAACGGCCTGGGAGCTAAAGTCAGCCTCACATCCAGATATCATCCACAATCAAATGGACAAACAGAGAGAAGCAACCAGGAACTTGAGGCTGACCTATGGTGTGTCGTGAGTAATAACCCCTCAATGCGGAGTCAGCATCTTACCTGGGTAGAATATGCTCACAACACACACACACACACACACACACACACACACACACACACACACACACACACAC